GATTCAGAATCAGATTCAGATCCAGATGATCCTTCATCCTGATCTTCCACGCCTGCCATCAGAGCCATGTTGGCGCATTCTTCTTCAGATTCCGATGAAGATTCAGAATCATCTGAATCATCCCAGGCTGCCATTAGAACCTTCTTCTTTTTATCAAACTTCCTCTTTGGCTTTTCCTTTAGAAGCTTTGGACATTCATTCTTGTAATGGCCAGGTTCTTTGCATTCAAAGTAAACAACCTCCTTCTTTCCAGATCTTTTGTGTCCAGAGGATTCCTTGCGTTGATCTGGCTTCTTGAAGTTCTTGAACTTCCTCTGTTTGTGCTTCCAGAGTCTGTTGATTCTTCTGGACAACAAGGACAGTTCATCTTCTTCTTCAGAAGAATACTCTTCAGAACTTTCTTCTAACACCTGCAAAGCTTTCACAGACTTGTTAGACTTTAAAGCAATTGACTTACCTTTCTTTAGAGGCTCGTCTTCTTCAAGTTCAATTTCATGGCTCCTCAGAGAGCTGATTAGTTCCTCCAATGTGATCTTGTTTAGATCCTTAGCTAGCTTCAGAGCAGTGACCATTGGTCTCCATCTGATGGGCAAGCTTCTGATGATCTTCTTCACATGATCAACAGTTGAGTAGCCTTTGTCCAGCAATTTTAACCCAGCTGTGAGGATCTGGAATCTAGAGAACATAACTTCTATAGATTCAGATTCTTCCATTTTAAAGGCTTCATACTTTTGGATCAGCGCCAGAGCCTTGGTCTATTTAACTTGTGAGTTCCCTTCGTGTGTCATCTTCAAAGACTCAAACAAATCAAATGCAGTTTTTCTGTTAGTAATCTTCTCATACTCAGTATGAGATATAGCATTTAATAAGATTGTTCTAGCTTTGTGATGATTCCTGAACTCCTTCTTCTGGGCATCAGTCATAGATTTTCTATCAATTTTCTTGCCATCCCCATCAATGGGGTGAACATAACCATCAATGACTAAGTCTCATAGATCATCATCATAACCAAGGAAGAAACTCTTTATTCTGTCCTTCCAATAATCAAACTTCTCCCCATCAAACATAGGGGGTTTTGTGCTGATTCTATCCCTTTCTTCATATCTGTTGTTGTTGTTGTTGTTGGATGTTGAAGCTTCAACCATAATAACAACCAAAGAATATCAAAAGTATTTTTCTCACTGGATCTTTTCTGTCACGGTAAAGTGATAACACACACAGAACCGAAGCTCTGATGCCAACTGAAGGTGAGAAAATACTTAGAAGGGGGGGGGGGGGGGGTTGAATAAGGATTTAGAAAATATTATGTCAATAAAAACACAAAGATTTTTATCCTGGTTCGTTGAACTCAACTACTCCAGTCCACCCTATCAAGAGTGATTTTCCTTTCTCCACAAGGACTTAATCCACTATTAATCAAACTGATTACAATAGCAAACACTAAGAGCAACTATTCTTAGTCTTCTCAAGAACTACTGACCACAACTGGGTCTTTTCAAGGAGCTTTTACAATCAAATGTAAAACTAAACAAGTGTTTGAATGCTTCTAAGAAAGCTATATAACAACTGTGATTTACACTTAAGTTTAAGAACGTACGAAATAAATTCAGCAAAGAGAATAATTTGTATGAGAGCTTTTCAATGAATTTCTTTCAATAATCGTCAACTTGAGAAAAATGTTGAAGTCTTGCTTTTATAGGCACAGAAGTCCAAGACGTTTGCAAGCTTGAAGACCGTGTCTGCAGAGTAGCTGTAACCTTTTTGTCTTCACATCACTTGACCTTTCCTAGAAGTAGAACGCTCAGAGAAATCCTTTTTGCCTGAGTTCTTGTGTATAACATTAATGAGGAAAGATTCGTTTGGCATAACCAACGGATATAACTTCAAATAATCTTCTTCAACAAGTTTCTAATTCATATCAATCTACATCAGAGCTTTGACTGATCAGAGTCTTTAATATTCATCAGAGTTTGCTGTATCAGAGCATTGCAGCAAGTGTGCTTCAGCGTGTAATTAATCAGAGCAGAGTTTAGAGATCAGATCCTCAGTACTTGCAGCAAACAGTACCATCAGAGTCTTCTGATAAACAGTGCTTGAAGCTCTTCATACAAAGTCTTCAGTTTACGCTTCAGATGCTTCTGTAGCTTCTGCTTCAGATCCTTCTGTAGGCAGCGCTCAGAGTCTTCTAAGAGATGCTTCTGACGCTTCAGAGCCTTGTGTAGTTCAACGTTCAGATCCATTTGGCTTTCAGAAGAATATTAACTTTAATATCTGCAGTAAAAATACTTGAACAAATTTTAGAGTATATAATTTCTTAATACAAATTTTCATAAGTGTTATCATCAAAACATAGAGATATAACTAAGAAGCAATCTGTGTTCTAACAGTATGGAGATGTTTTGAATTTTTTCTGAAAATTTTGATGAGTTGGAGATTTGGGTAATAAAATGATTTTTCCTTTTTTAATGAAAAATAAATGTTAAACCATAATTTCTTTTAGTAAAGTAATATGAAAGTATTACAGTGACGACCTTAATTAGAGATTTTTTATGATTAGTAATTTGAAAGGATTACAATGAAGATCTTAATTGTCGATTTTTTATTATTAGTAATCCACAAAGATTACAGTGACAATCTTAATTGGCAATTTTTGATGATTAGCAATACGAAAGAATTATGGTGATAATCTGTGATTGGTAACCTATAGGTTCAAGAGTCGAACCTTCTGATGATGTTTTTAATGATGTTTATGATGTTAATGGTGTTTATGATGTTAATGATATTTTTGATGATGTTTACGATGTTAATGATAATGTTAATGATGTTTATGATGATAATAATGTTTATGATTTTAATGATATTTTTGATGTTGTTTACGATGTTAATGGTGATGTTAATTATGTTTATGTTGTTGATGATGTTGCATGCTTACATTGTAAATGATCATGCATGCATTTATTTCGGAGATAGGTAGGACTTTGCCCCAGTGATGACCTGGTCCAGAGTGGGACTATAGAAGTCTCACGTCTAGAGAGGGACACAGTTCAAGAGGAACCATAGACATGGATAAATTAGTAACATACCTCTGATCCCAAAAACCTGGTACCACATGCATATTTAATAAGGAGTTGGTGGCATTATCATTTGAATCGTTATTTGATTTTGATTGTGTTTTGTGGGAATGATGTACTTATGAGTTCGCTAATTACCATCTTGTTGCTAAATTTCACAGTTAACATTTTAAAGGTGTACTCTCATCCCTTTTTTTGTTGTGGCGTCTGTGCTCCTCTGAAGTACAGACAATCAGGTACTCACCAAGAGTAGTTGCTTGCAAGTTAGAAGATGATCTTGGAGACTTTCTTCGTTTATATTTACATTTATCACTTTTTAGTGGTTTATATGCTCTGATCTGTAACATCGAGAACGAGACACATTATTTTGTTTGAGTTGTTGTTTGGAGTAACTTAGTTGAGTATTTGCTTTAAATAATTATCTTATGTTTTGAGATATTTTGAGTTCGGCTGCAAAGTTTTTGAAAATTTTTCATGAGGTGCATGTTTTTTTTTGTGTAGCATTAGTGAAAATTTTCTTTTGTATTAAGAGTCAGAGTTTAGGATGTTACAATATCGATATAAAATTGTGTGATTAACAAATTTTATAATTTCATTAACCAACAATTTACATTTCATTAACCAATTTTATTTTACCACTAAAAGTTATTTTTAATATTAGACGTTTATTAACCAACTTCATAATTTCATTAATCAGCATTTTACTTTTCATTAACCAACTTAGTCTTATTACAAAATCATTTTTAATATTTGAGTATTTATTAACCGAGTTTGTTTTACTACTAAAAATTATTTTTAATATATGAACGTTTATTAACCAACTTCATTATTTCATTAACCAATTTTTTATATTTTACTAACCAACTTTGTTTTAATATTAAAAGTCACTATTCATGAACGGCTCACTGGACACTACTCATGTGCATGTGTTGTTCATGGCAATGTTCATGACACTGCTCATGTTACTGTTCACCGTATTTGTGAAGGTGTAAGGGAGGATGTAGTAATATCATTGCAGATAAATAGGATTCTCTATCAAATAAGATCAAAATTATAAAGAGTGATAATCAACAGAAAATATTAATTGTTCCATAATAAAATCAAAATTGTAAGTAAAACAGTAGAGTGAATCTTAGAAATGGTTCACTTAATTTTTTAATGCGGTGGTGTGAGAATATACTTGCAAAATTAGCATGTTAACGCTCAAGTCAATGAGAAAATAAAAAACAATCCAAAGTGGAGATGAACTTGAATTATCTAAAAATGACACATATATATTCTTTCTTATAAAGTAAAAACAGTTAAAATTGCTCGCTTAAGATGTGTTGTGTTGTGTGTTGCATAAGAGGTCGGGATTACCTGCCCTTATTTATTGTGAGGGTCAACAAATTCCGTGCTCGCACATACATTATTAATCACATATTGTTAATGACAATATTTCATTGTTTGCGTCATTATTTATAGAGATACAACGGATGATGTAAGAATAAAATTGCTGGATGATATTAGTTAATGTGTTTGAATTATTTTTTTTGACAACAAATCATTAGCTGTAATATTGTAATACTTGAACTCGTGCATTTTTAAGTCAAAGATCAATCCTCGAAAAGAGACTTTTAATGTACACGTGATCCATTGGCCATCATGTTAATACCTTAACAAACATCTAAACATTTATTTATAGATAAACATCCCAAAACAAAAAACTATGGTCCAAATCACTCTGTCTCCAATAAAGTTCAACAAACAAGGTCCCTCATTACCTCTTTCACACATGCAACATAAATAAACTCTCAACTCTCACACACACTCACCTTCGTCTCATTTCCTCATCCCAAAAATCCATAAAAATTTAATTGCATATATCTTTTTCTTTTTCAATCTTCTGTTTCAAACACAACACTGAAACCTAAGCAAAAACAAAAAATTATGTCTAGCTCCAGAAAAAAACTAACATTAAACACTGTCTCCATAAACCTCGGTTGTGGAACATGTAGAAGACCAAAACTTTGTTTCGTATTCAACCCAAAACAAAAACACAAAAATCATCACCTTCATAACAATCCTTCATCTTCTTCTTCAAGTTCAAACCCTTGGAGAGAACGGCACAGAGGCAAAACCGAAACATCAAGTAGCACCAGCAACATTACTACACCAACAACAAAAACATCATTCGACTCAGAGAAGTCATCACCACTGAAAGGATTCGGAAGAGTTGGAAACGAAGGAGTAGCGGTTGAGAAAGATTCAGATGACCCTTATCTTGATTTTCGATATTCTATGTTACAAATGATATTGGAGAATGAGATATGTTCCAAGGATGATCTTAGAGAGCTTTTGAACTGTTTTCTTGAACTGAATTCGATGGAACATCATGGGATTATTATAAGGGCTTTTACTGAGATTTGGAATGGAGTTTTCTCTGTTAAGTATGGTTTTTCACCTGGGTTTCACATCAACCGTAAATCACGTGACTTCTAGCTTCTCACGTGGATAACCAGAGGTGTAAAATAAGTGAAAATGTTAAGGATGTAATGTTGTAACCATAGAGTTGCTAGTATCAAATTGAAAAGGATGCAATGCAACTGTTTTTATGACATCATTTATTTTCCAAAATTTCCATCCTGACAGTATCTCAGTAATTTCATCATTGTGCGGACAGCGTGGAGTAATGAATCAATTTTGTCTGGCACACACAGATTTAGATTTGGTGTATGAATATGGTCAAAAATAAGTTTCCAACTTGTCAGGCTTTGAGTGTAATGCAGTGGTGGGAAATATAGGTGTTGGGATTTGAATCACAATAATATGAATGGTCCAAGTATTAAACTTATTTTAGATGGTACTGAAGTATATATGTATTTTATTTAAATTTATTTATGTGTACTTTCGACACCCATTACTCTTTGTAGCACATGCAGTTAGTTTCTGTTTGTATTTACTTGGGCATTAGGTATTGATAGCTTCACCATTGGCAAACTTGAATTTAAGCCTTTTCAAAGGAGGTAGGTTCCAATAGGGGATTAAGGTCGGCAAGCATTTATATTTACCAGAAAGACCCGCGCGACGCGCAGCTGTAAATTAATTTTTATTTGATTAAAAATATTTTTTTAAATTAGTTTTGAATTTTAATTATATTATAATAATTTTAGTTTAAAATACATATAATTTTTTTAAAATATATTTGTAACTTGACAAGGATATTAAGAATTTTGTTTTTACAAATTTTAATGAAACTCTAAAAGATATTACTTGTAATTATTTTTTATATTTTTAGTCTCATCCTTTTTGATACTCATATGTGAAAAATCAATAATACTATTCTTTATCTTTAATTTTCTGATATGTCATAATATAAAGAATATAATAATAAAAGTATATAAATATGATTATAAAATTGTGCATACTCTATTGTATTTCAAATATCAATAAATAGTGATAAGTCTTTAAAATTTGTGTAATAATTAATTTGACATTAAAGAAATTTGTTTTAACTTTTACATTTCTTACAATTCAAAAAGTATTTCATGAAAATGAATAATGTTATATAAGTTTTAAAACATGATTGTTTTTTTTAGACATTATTTTCAGTAGTTTTATCATACTCTTTATGGTCACTATTATAAAAGAAAAGATAAAGTATAATTCATTTTTGGGAATATATATTGTTCTGGCCTGGGCCCCAGCTTGATCGAGCAGGCTCAGCCCAGTAATGTGCAGTGGGCCCAATCTGGCTTGAGCTACTGCCGTCGAGCACAAGGTCCCCGTCGGGCAAAGAATACCCTCCGCGGGCAGGACCTTCTCCCCCTGTCGAGCAGAACAAATGTGTCCCTTACGCGTTCTCCACGTGCTCCCCTCCGCGGGGACACGTCATCCACCAACTGCCCACCTCCGAAAGAGTAGGTCAACCCACTTTCCGGAGTCCACGGAGCAGTTGAACTAGGGCGAAGACCACGTTCTGGTCTTCACTATGCCACGTAAGCCCTAGCAGTCACTTGGGTTGGGCCTGGCCATTCAGCCCAACTCAAATAACCGTTGGCCCCGTGCTGGAGTCTCTCTATAAATACCCTCTTTCACAAGAGGGTCATGTATTCTCTTCTTACCCTTTTCTGTACTTGTGATCACTCTGTCCAACTTCTTACTTTGTCATCGGAATGTCTTGTAGGTACACCCCCCATCTTCTTCTATACACCGTTGAAAAGGCATAAATCCAACAGGGCGCGGTCAGTCAGTGATCCCCTTCTTGTCAGGTCAGATCATATATTTATGAAAATAATATATTTATCTTAGTTAGTAATTAATCGTTAGATTAATAGGTTAATATATTTTCGACTATAACTACTTGGAGATTAAAAAAAATTATTTTAAGTATTTTAAGTGTTCATATTTTTATGATTTCAAATAAAACATAATTTTAATGTTTACAGGAATATAGATAGTTCAAATAGTAGTTGTCTTGTTAGATCAATTTTGTTAAAAATGATATTTCTTTCGTTTTTGCCAAAGTTCGAACTTGTGATCTCCAATAGAAAATAAATATTGTATTTGTCTATTTGAAAAATAAAAATAAGATTTTAGATGTGTCGCACAGAAATATGGAATGATGTGGCACAAATGGAATAAAAAATTTAGCATGTGTCGCCATATAATTCGCCACTACAAATTTAATATATTATATAGATTGACAGTAAGGTTGAAGTTTTCATTTATTCGAAGGAGGGTTTAAAGCCTAAAAGAGAACATATTACACCAGTATAAACCCGAAAATAATAGATTCTATGCGATCATTCTCTAACAATTGAGAAATAAAGTCAGAGCAAGAGTCAAAATACACATCGACTCAAGGAGATTAATTCCCCTTCTAGATAGAGCATCAACACAATAGTTGACCTTTCGATATACATGCTTGACTTAAACACTCAAATCTTGTGATAATATGATTCTAATATGCAACAATAAGTTTCTTCTGATGAGACAATTTTTATTCTTTCCAGACAATATCCACTACTAATTAAGAATTAAGATTAACCTCAATAGTTTCTTAATTTTACAAGTTTCAAGCCTTTGAACATCCTCACACCTTTGTGAACAAGTCAGAGCAATTATCAATATTTTTCCGCAAAACCACCGAGCCAATTCTCTTCACGATCTCTGATTAGACCTCCACATCCTAAATTACTTATTGTTATTTTTCGCTCCATCAGTATTTAATTTAAATCGTCCCATCAACGTTGCTTGAGATTATTTTAGCGTTATGATAATTCTGTAGTAGCATATAACTATGATTCATTAAATTAGACGGTCTGACGAAACTATCATATTAGTTGCCTAAAACTCTTTCCAATCACCATCCACATTCTAACTCAAATTTTAATTCATATTTAGGACGATCAGTTATTGCACATTTTCTGCAAAGAAAACATCTCACATATTAGAGTACGCTAGTATCTTTCATGAAATATTTCATATTAGAGTGCAAAGAAATCTTTCATTAAACATGAAATGACCTTAACTAAACTATGTATGTAATTCGAAATTTTAGTATAAATATATTTATTAATTTTTATAAAAAAAATTGATATTAGACCTCGTAACCCACTATTTTAACAATCCAATAATTCACTAGCTAGAAACCCAATTAAAAACATAAAATCATTTTAAATGAACTATCCTAACACTAAAATTATTAACACCTAACAAAGTTCAAACTTAAAACCTTAAAAAAAAAAAAGGTTCTCTCTAAGTCTCAATTTTTCAGTCCATGCAAACTCGTTGAATTTACAAACAAAACATACCTAAAAACTTAAGAAGTGATTTATAAGTTATTCACCAACAAGACTCTATATTAGCATCAAAATTTGGACTTTCTCAATATAAATTACTTAAGCACTAAACTAGTCATATTCTTCTTACCAATGACAAATATTTAAAAAGATCCAATCACAAATCAGGATCATTTTACCTCACAAACACGTAAAAATTTACATTATAAAGATTGAGTCAATTGATAAAGAGTTGATTTACACCGAGAGATTATATGCTCAATTCTCAATGTCTATGCGAGTTTTTTTTATGACTACATTTTTTATGAATAATTTGTAAATTTTTCAATAAGTGTTTTTGAATCTTAACGTATGTCATGAGCTTAGTGAATCTTAGGGATCTAATTCATAAAAAGTTTCTATTATAAAAAGAAATTTTATATATTATGAACAATTTATAAATATTTTTATAAGTGTCTTTGAACCTTCACGTATGTCATGATCTTATAGTGAATTTTTGGAATCCAATTCATAAAAAATTTCTATTATAAAAAGAAAATTTATATAATTTAGTCATTTAAAAAATATATATTATAGTTAACAAAAGAGAGGAATGACAAAGGATCTTAGAGTTTTATTAGAATAACAAAAATATGTAACATAAGAATTATAATAAAGAGAGAAAACAAACCAAATTACCCTTATTAAAATATAATAAATACATAATAATATGATACTAGTATTATTTAACATCTCCTCTCAAATTTATGATACATTATTAGAAAGCAAAGAAAAAGTTTAATGGAATATGTTCCGTACTGAAACCATAACTAGTTGAAGTAGGTGATGCATATTTTTAATTGGTGGTGCTGATCTCTGATACGACTGCATAGGATGGACCTACAAGATTAGCACTCCAAAATCTAAGTCAGTTTTAGATTTAAGATGATTGTAGTGAAAAATGGAGATTAAAATGTGTATCTTGCTTTCCGTGTAAGATGACTTTTATACCTTGGGTTACGTGGAGTGAATTTGAATTGATTTGGGTCTTGAGCATCTTGGGAATTTGTTCGGCCTAGAACAGTTGCCCCAAAGGCATGTCGAGCTCTTAGGGAGTCGGGGAAACCTTTAGCGGTTAAGGTCGACCTCTAAGGATATTGTCTAATTTGAACTAGAACTGAAACACATTAAATGCATTCTCATCATTGAAAAAGTATCAGAGAATAAGCGCATTAAATGCATTTATATCATTGAAATGTTTCGTCGTGGTCTGAAATGACTAGTTAGGGCATGACGCTACTTACAATGCACTCGAGTTTGATTGGATTTCCAAGGAGAAATCCAATCTTGATTCTATAACTTCTTTTTACTGCTGATTTGGATCGTTCTATCATATTTTCCTATGTGTAGGAGAAATTGAGTACTTAGGAAAATTTTCATAACCCTTGGAATTCAAGCTCATTCATAGTTGTTAGGAGTTTGATCGGGTCGATGATGGATAATTGATGTGAAACATGATTAGGAGTTTAATCAGGAACCTTTGATAGGATATTAGAAGTAACTACTTGCATTCTTTGTGGAATTTGGATCTAGGATGATCCATTCATAGAATTTTCGCGGGAATTGGGAGCCCAAAAAATTGAGGAATCAAAATTGAACAATGCTTGATCGGATCGAACACGACGAATCCTCACGTTTGACTCTAAATTCTCTTGACCT